TTTCTTAAAAAAGATACATCTTATGTATAATTTTTTGCTCCACAACATATCAGAATTTGGTGATGGCGATTCTTCTGTATCCGGAAATACGAACTGGAATGAAATGTATGACTGAAGAGACCCAGTATTTTTGCAATAATCCCATTTGTTTTATAGTGGCGAAGGCACTCGGAGCCGCTTCTGAGGGCAGCAGCGGGTGGCTGCAAAAATCCGGTATGCGTTAGGCGTTGAAAATTTGTTGCAAAAGCTCTACGTCACTTTAGTAATATTAACAGATTATTATTCTGCGGAGTTGTAAGAGGTAATCTTCATTATAGCGTTGTTTACTTCTTTTATTTCGTGTTTTCTGCGCTTTTAGGATTGTCTCCACCTTATACTCGTTAAAGTTCTGGTCGCACAAGGGAACAGAAGAGGAACGACCTTTTGTTCTTTTTTGAAGTTATGTGCTGAAGTTCTCCAGAAACATAGAAAGTTTCAAGAAAAACCTTAATCCAGCAGCTAACTAGGTAAACGATTGAGTTTTTAGACTTCTCTGAGACGCCAAAGTATTTACTACCCACATAATTTTGACAGAATAAAACACCAGAAGCATGCAACGTTGGAAAGAAGGCTGCCTCTTTCACCTTTTCAGAATAATAATTTGTTAATATTATTAAAGTAAAGTACAGATTTTGCAACAAATTTTCAACGTTAAAGCACACCGGATTCTTGCACTGCGGTTTTCAGAAGCGGCTCCGGATGGTTTCGCCACTATAAAATACATGGAATTATTGTAAAAATAATGGTTTTTTTCAGTTATATATTTTATTCCGATGCGTGGCTCTGGATACCGAAGAGTCGCCATTACCAAATTTTGACATTTCGTAGAGCAGAAAATTATACACAAGACGTGCCTTTTTAAAAAATTAAAGATTCGTTTTTTTTTTCTAATGTTTGTTTGAAATCTTATTTTTACCATGTCTGTGTGATTTTTCAACGAAACTAAGTTATTTAATGTGCTTTTAAAAGTCAGTTTATGACAAATCCACTGGACAAAAAATCATTAAATTGTATTCGAAACAGGATAAATTATAAGTCTGCAAAGGTAAGGATGTTAGGCGACAACCTGAAAAGTTTTGCAACTTTGAGTCGGTAAGACTTGACGAGGAATTCACTCTTCCAAGTTTTTTTTTCGGTTTCCGTTCACTGACCTTGACTCTACTAATCGACAAAATTTGAAAAAAATTTGAGATGTGAGAGGAAAAAGTGTGACACTGGGTACAGAATGGCACATATATAAGCTATAAGATATATAAATCTGTACATATATTTTTCTTGAAATTGTGTCATGTTATTACAGCTTTGTGTAAATGGATGTGGCTTTTATGGAAATCCGCAGTGGAAAGGTCGCTGTTCAAAATGTTGGCGTGCTTATCAAGTTCAAGAAAAAAGAAACCAAGATTTCACGAGGAACAGGTAAAGAATAAGTAGTCTTCGTATCTCTTTGTGTCGCTTTTCTGAATTCGACGATGTCATAGGCCAAATTGCTCCAGTGAACGCTTCCGACTTTTACTAAATGGTTGTAATTTGAGGATGCAGCAGTTTTTCAGTTTGAAAAAAAAACCGTTCTAAAATGAGAACTTTTGTAACACTGAAGATTTACAAATCAATTTTGAGTAATTTTATTCTCCTATATCTATTACGCAGAAGAAGAGTTCAGAGTAAAAATAATATGGGTCATCTAGCCGTCGGGAATATTATAAAAAATTTTTTTCTTAATATTCTCGCTTTTTTTCTGTATTGTGTTCAGTTCAGGGCTTATTTGGTGACTAATTTTTTGGTAACGGTTGGTTATTAGAACATCTTCTTTACTGTAACTTGTTAGAAGTAAACGGTTTTTTTATAAGTTTCAAAAACTGCTCCATTACTAGTTTTTTACTTGAAATATTTGCTACCAAATGCTTCTAGGAACCAATTAAAAGTATATTGCCATATGATTGAAGTTGCTGATTTGTTCTACTTATTTGCTAACTTTTTTGTAATCAACCTTTCCTCTCTTTCAAATTTGTTGTATGTAAGTACTATTTCTTTGCGTCACTTTCACTTGAAAACGTTCTAGAGAGCTGCTAAATTTCGAAAAGTTTGAGGGGAGACGTCGACAGTCATCGGAATTTCGCACGCTTAACTTTAAATCTTTACTTCGGAAATCGCCATCGATGACTTCTGGTTCTGTGAATGGTCTGATAAATCACATTTTGCTTTTGTTTCATTAGTATTTGGTTTTATAAAACTAATTTTTTAAGATTAAAGAGAATGATAACCGAACAGTGAGCAAGTAAAATCATTTTTTTCAATAGTTTCGCGTATTATTAAGAGAAATACTTTTGCTAACTGGAGGTCCATGGGACGCTCCTTCCAAGTTATTTGGGCAGTAGTGCAGAAGAAGTTTTGTTAGTAGGGGAACATAAGAATTTCTTGAAGGGAAAAGCAATTGATTTTACAGTTCCAATAAAACACTGTATAATACTTGATTTAGCTTTTACATGCCTTTTTCTAGTTTCGTTTGGTTCATTTTTAATTCTGCGGAGGGCTTCTTTGTTAGCTTGTGGGGGATTGACCATTGTTCTTCGTACAAGTTGATTGGAGTTACTGAGGATTTCCCTCATCCCTTTTTAGCACTGAGCAGAGCTTGAACTTTATGTAGGACTTGAGTTTATACCATATGTCTTCTGGAGCTATTGCTCTTCCAAGTGAGGTGCTGAAAGGCCTTACGCTACACTGCTAAAATCTCATTTCATTCAATTCATCATTCTTTGCGCGTTTTTAGTAACAGGTGGATAAGAGAGTTAAAACGATTTTTACGTACTAAATAGGTTGCTTTCTTTATTTTAAATCATTCTCTCAAAGGTTTCTCGTAAGACGGACCTCCACTCATTTTTAAAAAGTATGGCAGCTGTTTCGCTCCTAATTTTAAAAATCTAAAGAATTTTCTCTTGAAGTAACAATTTTTTTACGACAACTTTTCTTTTGTGGAGAAAACGTCTTTTTCATTTCTTGAAGGGAACCAAATTTTTTGATTAAGTTGAAGTCGGCTATATGACTGGTAGATGTTCAGCTCTATCAGGAATGTACAGTAAAACAATGGGCTTGTTAATTTAAAGTGTCTATGGTGGCACGAAATAATAGTTATTAGGAAAATTCAGTGGGTTGAATGTAGTGGTGGGAATAACATCGGTCATTCAAATTCCCAGAAATCACCTTCTTAATTGTTGTAGATAGTAGTTTGAATAAGACTGAGCAAAAAATGGTTTCAAGTCTAGAAGGACAGTTGGTTAGGAAAAGTGATACGAAAACTTCCGACAGGTATACTGTTGTTTTTGCCTTATTTTTACTAATTTCGCTGTATACAATCGTATTTTTTATGCCATCACTAGTATTCTTTTCGTCAGGGTGGTTCATCGTCCCTCTTGAGTGGGGAGAGGTGTTTTTTAGCCTAATATTTCAACCTGTCCGACTTTCTCTCGGTATTTTTCTCGAGGAGTAACTTACGTTATAAGCTAAAATTGAGTTACACTGTCAATGCCAGCTAAAGTGTAGTTTTTGGTTTGTCGTCAGTGGCAAGACTTTAAACACGATTTTTTATAGCTTGTATTCGTTGAATATATTCTTAAATTCAAGATAGTTGCTTTCTTTTATTCATCAAAACATGCTGTCTGTTATTCAATAGAAAAAATAAAAATAAAAACCTATAATGAGGCAAGTGAAGCGTTGAGCATATTTTTGAAATTTTCAATCTTGTTGAAAGGCGGGGAACTATTATTGCGTTTGTTTTATTGCGAAACTTTCTGCGTCTGACATAAGAGTAATTAATTTTTGTGAATTTATACAAAAACCGTGTTTAGATGCTCATCCTGGAAGCTCAGGGTCTCAGCCTTCTCCTCTTTCCGGCTTTCCCAGGTTACAGTATCACCTGACATAACTTATTTTTTCAGTTTTTTAACTTTAGAGGTTTCGTCTGCTAAATTTTTGTTTTTTTTTTTCAAATTTTAATTGGAATATTACTGGAAATAATAAGTTGTTTAACAGATTTTTATTCCACTTGTACAGGCATAGAGAATTAAGTGAAGAAAGTCGAAATGCTAACGATAGGTTCACTGAGTTTTTACGCAAAAGTCTTCCTGCAGCTCCAGCTACTGAAATATTTCGGCAAACTGAACATGCGGTTGAAAGAATTATTGAGGTTTTTTATTGTTCTTCCTGTTATTGACTCTATTTAATGACGACGAATTTCAATTGAATTATCATATTTCAGCAGAATAATTTTTCGAACGTGAATATGGATGATTTGTCTGGGCTAGTTCAGCATTTTTACCAGACTCTTTCGGACAAAATGCGTCATAATTCGGCTTTGAATGGTGAGATATCATGTCTTTTTTGTAAAGAGTAGAATTTCGACGCCATTGCTTTTATTACATCTGCTTTCAGTTGGCTTCTGTCACACTTTTGTAAACTTGCTTTATCTACATAGTTACTCGGCTTTAAAAAGTGTTCTGTTTTACATAAAAGTGAAATTACTGATCTTATGACTTTTTAACCAGTGCCTTTTGAATTGAAATAGTAATGCGTCAAAAAACTTCTTGTTACTTTTTTGTATTTCTCTCAAAAAGGTTTTTTTGTAGTTCAGTTCTTTGTATTTTTAAATTTTTTCTACTCCGCGTTTATAGTTTTTAAGACTTTTTGCTTAAACTGTGAGTGTGGTGAAGGACTTGAAATTGTGAGGCTTTTGGTGGTTAAATGTCTCCGGCACAAAGTTCTAGTTTTTCAGACAGTCTACTTCTGATTCATTTTTATTTCTTTTTGAACTACTTCTTATCACTTTATTAACTTAAATTTTAGATGCTAATGTTTATGTCACTCATGAGGAAATTATGGCTGAAATAGAAGAATATGTTTGCGTTCGGGCGTACAATAAATTATTTTGTGCAAGGTATGTTCAGTGTTTCGTGCAGATTATAGTTACCATTTAATGGAGATTGCTTTCTTTAGCTATCTTTTTGCCAAAATAGGCGATATTTAAGTAGCGGTCTTGGGGACTCGGTGGCAAGAGAGGAAGATGAGGTTAAAAAACAGCCAGACACTTTTAAATCATTTCGTTATAAGGCTGGTTGAATTTCAGTTCAAGGCGTAGTGAGCCAAATAATGTTTAGGAATTTGATTTTTGCTGTTAACTAAAAGGTGATAACTTTAAGCACAGATGAAGAAGCTGCAGACCTTTCACTTCAGGATCGGATCAGATCTTTACATTGGGTGACTGGAGGTTTTTTAGAGACCACTCTGGATTTTAGTCAGCAAATAGTATCTTTTCTGCCACTAGTTTTATCTTTACACATTATATTTTATTATTATATTGCCAATATAATTGCATAATTAGATTAAACTTTATATTTCTTTCTTAAGATTTGTCAAAAAGCTTTATATAGTTTACCAAAACGTCTTGCAGTTCACTTCTAGAGAGCTTTTGATATTACTGCTGTACTCTATTGACGAAAGTCGTTTCATTAAGGTTCGAGATAAACTTGATGAAGCAATCACTGAAATGATTGATATTAACAGTCATCGAAGTGCAGGAAAAAAGTTACGCTGCTTAGTAAGGTGCTCTAAACTTATATTTGAAGCTCTGAAAGAAAGTCGATCAGGTATTTTGCCTTCTTTCAGAGTTTTATTCGCATTATGGTTTTTTTTTACTTTTGCAAGTAACTTTTTTCGTTTAAGGCGCTCCTGCAAGTGCCGATGAGTACTTGCCAGTCTTGATTTATGTGTTATTAAGAGGAAATCCACCGTTAATCCAGTCGAACGTGAAATTCATTAGTCGTTTTGCGTTGCCATCGCGTGTTATGAGCGGTGAATCTGGTACCAGTTTTTGCTTTTTGTTTTCATCCTATCTTTATTGGGTTATTATATATGGTATGTAGTTTTTTTGTTCTGCAGGCTATTATTTCACTAATCTCAGCTGCGCCTTGCAGTTTATTCAAAATATGAATGCAGAAAGTTTAAAGATGCCAAAGGAAGAATTTGAAGCTTATACATCTGGTAGCCAAGTCCCACCATTGAATGACAAAAACTGTGGTTGTAATCATGTTCGTTTTATGTCATCAAGTCTGGTTGTAAATGTGTTTTTGTCGAATCATTCCTACAGCGCCTTAAGTGACTGTTACCTTTACCAGCAAACAGTTCTGCGAGCTTTTACAATTTTAGGCATTACGAATCATGGATAAATCACTGTCGGATATTCGTGAACTAAGGGACCAGCACAAAGAGCGTCTTTTACGCATTGAGCAGTTCCAAAACGAAATAGAAAAGTAAGCTTATAGTTAATTGGTTTTAGCAATCATGTTATTAAGAAAACGTTGAGATCCAACTTTAAAATCTTTAGAAATAAAGTCGGTTTTCTAAGCCAAATCGACAGTTGCTTGAAAAACTACCCTTCGCTGGAGTTAATGAGGTTGTATAAAGAGGTCGAAGATGAGGAGTCTCGCGTTAATAGTGTCTTGTCTTCCAGAGCTTCAGTTCCTGAAGGAGCAGTGAAGGATGTCACTGAGGACGGTAACGATTTACTTTTCTATTAGAAGTTGTCTCTCCTTTTCTGCGTCTCAGCGGGAATGGACTCTTTTTTACTTTATGTTTTCTTTTACCGGGAGACAGGGGAAGGGGAAACTTTGTTAGAAACAACTATCCTCTTTGGAGCTTCATCTGCCTTTCCATTTCGCTCTCTGAACAGTGTAAGCGTATTCTGAATTTGAAAAATTATACACTTTTTTGGGCCCTTTCATACTTTTTTTTACTTGGCGAAGGTTAGTTGTCGCGTAACATGATTCTTTTAGTTGTATAGGATTACGTTCGAAAAATATTTCAGTTGAAGTTTAGGTTTAGAAATAAGAATAATATTTACTGGTGCAGTTGTGAAATTCCTTCTTTATACTGCGTCTTTTATGCTCGTCTAAGCTATTCCTTTGTATGAATAACCATTTAATAATTCCTATTTTACTTTAAAACACTGCTGGGCAGCAGAGTCGTCTTGCAACCGAGTTATTTGGCTAGTTCGTAACTTAACTTCTTGGGGCTTTACTTGAGCATCTTTCGAGTTGTTCTCCCGTCGTGCTCCACGACCCCCATCTTGACCGCACCTCTCTTCTTTCTGAGTTTTCCTTCTTTCCTTTGGGGTTTTCCAGTTGTAAAAAAGTTTTTCTTCCGCTTTATTCGGAATAGGGCTTCTCCAAACTAAGATATTTGCTGGGATGACAAACCTATATTTTATGATCCTCGAGATCGCTGTCAAAAGACATGATTTGACTTAGCGAACCAATTTTTTAAATGCTTGATTTTTTAGCAGTTTCAGGCTCATCAGCGAAAAAAGCGAGTGATGGATGTACCAATAAAGACAAAAAGTTTTAGCCTCCTGCTGTGTTTAGTGGTGATTGTCAGGTGGGTACGTGGTTAAATGTGCAAGTGCATCTTTATAGTAGCTCTTCTTTGAGGTGGGAGTTAGAGATTAACCAGCCACTTGTACAGCGATTAAATTTTGTCTTGATTTGCTTGTCCCAGAATGTAACTAACTTTTTTTTGAAGTAGGCGTGAATTAATATTTTGTTTAAATATTAGTTCAGACAATAAATTTTCTAGTACTTTCCTTTTAAGGAGGCGAGTTCTTGCTGAGAAGGCCCGAGACTTGTTCTTGAGATAAACAATTGTGGGAAGTGATATAAAGCGAGGTGATCGGTTAAAATCTTCTTCTAAGATCTTAGGAGTGCAGATGCTTTGGGAGGCTCGGTGCCGATAGAGGATTCAGTTAAATTTTTCAAAATTTTTGTAGTCTTTCTGCCGTTTTTCGGATTTTCTAAACATCTTTGTTTGATGGTTGCGAAGAAGGGGCGGCCAAATGCATTTCTACTCTCTAACGTTCTTTAGGATGGTGGGTCGCAAAAACCTATTCCTGACTCTTGTGTAGGGATTAGAATGATTTTATGCATCTCAAAAGTTCAAAAATCCCCGTCTTTTTCGCGATTACTGTTCTAGTGAAAAGAGATGAATGGATTAACCAGTGGATTTCATTAACCCAGTGCAGTTGCATTATGCTCGTCCCTGTGTGAAATTGTATTTTAAATGTATCACTGTGTTATGTAAAGGTTGTACTTCAGCTTTTGCTCATGTGTTAAATTGTATTTTGCTAGTCTTTTATGAGAATCAGTTCTTGACCTCGTTTTAATGGCTTGTTACATCAGTAAATTTTGTGACATAGTAAAACAAATTTCAGGGCAATAAATGCGTTTTTTTTTTGTGGTAGTTTGTTGGGAATTAACTTTGTCAATCAGAGTTTAATAGTCTTCCTAAAATTAAGTGGGCTACTATCTGTTCAAGTGGAGTTCCCTAATAGTCTTCCGAGTTCTGAGACAGTTTTAGTGGTAGAGAGGATGACTTGGTAATTGTACAGAAAGTTTTATTATTTGCTTGACAAACGTGACATTGTCACTAGCACTAATTAAGTTTAAGAAGTACAGGCAGGTTCCGAGTATTTTTGGTCACTTGACGAGGTCTCCTGTATTTTTCGTTTACAAGGTTTTTACCTGTTGGTTAGGGTTAGCCAGTCGTAATCGCTCTCGATACATAGAGAAGCCCCATTTTGATAAACAATTGAGTCTGTGTTTCCAGCAAAAAAAAATTTGAAAACAACCGTCATGTTGTGAGTTGGCCGTATAAAAATGTCGATCGTCTTGTGGCGGATAACTATTTGCTGTGTTATTCAAGGTTGAAGTCGCCTCACTAGGGAAAATCTATTAGGAAAAACAACTACATTATAAAAGATCAGATGTCTAAAGGTATTCCCAAAGAAGTTAAGAAGAACACGAGGGCCAGCAACGTTTCATACTTTCTACACTATCCTGTTATTACCGCTGAAAAGCAAACGACTAAGATCTGAGTGGTCTACGATGCATTGGCAAGGTCGGGCAAGGATAAGTTAAGTCTCAATGAATGTCTATACAGAGGACCGGTTATGGTACCAGAGTTATGCGGAATTGTGTTCCGTTTCCAAACATACAGATATGGCCTAATTGCAGATATCAAAAAGGCATTTCTGAAAATAGAATTAAATGACAGGGACAGAGACGTTACAAGCTTTCTTTTTCCAAAAGACCTGGAACGAGCAATGTCATTTGATAATTTGATGGTCTGTCGATTCTGCAGGATAGCCTTCGGTTTCATTTCCAGTCCATTTCTTCTGACAGCAATTATAGCCACCACATACAGAAGGAAATCAGGGAAGCTGAAGAAAAAGGGGAAACATCTTAAGCGGAGCTACCACAACGACTGACTGACGAAATATACGTAGACCGTTTGATAACGGGGGTAGTAATCAACCAGAAATTGCTCAAATTCATAAAGAAGTCAAGGCAATATTTCAGAAAGCGTCGTTAAACAAGCGTACATGGTCATCAAGATTCCAGGGTGTTGTAGTTCACACTCCAATAGAGTGCTAATGACAAGTATCCATGAATTAACAAATCATTAGATATTGTAGGAGTTGAGTGATATAGCAAAAGAACTTCCAGACTCAAAGAAAAAAGATGACTATTTAACTATCCGGAGCAAATTCCGGTCCTTATTTTTCTACCAAAAATTAAGCATATAAAAACCTGAGCATAGAGGTTAATTATTATTACAAATCTTTCGGTTAATTTTTCCTGTTTTGAATTCGCTCCGAGTTTCTTTCCCTTTTATTCTCAAAATAAATTTTCATTTTTTTCAAATTTCTATCATCTCTCGTGTATTGATTTACTGCCTGTACTGTCTTATTGAAAAATTTTCCGTTGTCAATGTTTGCTTGTATTGGTATGAAAATAAATCGCTAATATATCAAGAATTTAAGTTCCGTAAGAGCTTACGATTTGTAAGATTAAGATTGCAAGCATATTAGTACAGTAACTTAGATAGAAGAAAGTTGCAATAAAAAACTAGAGAGAGGTTTGGTATAACCTATAGAAGAATTCAGCAATTTATCCCAACACCACTCTCGACTGAACACCTGACAAAGCTCCACAAATATTTATTGCAAAAATATGGTTGACATTCGACAGAATCATGAATTCAGTAATAGATGCGACTTTTATTAGTAATTATCTTTGCAGCCAGAATTTCACCATTAACGAAATTAATTGTAATACTTTTGCCAAACAACTTCGGGCCAAAACCTAAACAAACCTAATGAGTGCCTACACATCAATCACATATACAACTAAAGAGTTTCTATATACTAGCTGTAGAAAGTTAGCTGAGGTCAGTACAGCACAATAAAACAAATCACCCACTTAAAAAGAGTTCAGTCAAAATAACTTTAAGCTTCATACACTGCAGAAGAGAAGTAGCATTAGAGAACTTATCAATTCAAAGTTCAAACAGACCAGCACTATTCACAACCTTGCTTTAGGAACCTAGTCGCAAACAGATTCAGAGCTGCAGTATGAGATTGCGTAAGACATAACGCTAAAACGTTCAAAGAAATGGCACAATAGTTCAACGCTACACAGGTGTCAACATTAAGACTTTACGAAATCGAACGCAGGATTATAATGTATGTTATGTGAAGAGAACTTAAACAGTAGCAGAAGAAAAAATCACACTTAAAGAGGGAATTATTATGCAGTACAACATCTAAGATGCATTTAACCAAAATAGACTGTAGCTAATTGAAATTAATTAAAACCCTTAAATCATCATGTTCAAAAGTCTTAGAATAGACATAAATTAGGGGATTAAATACAGAAAGAACTATACATTGTAACTAAAGATAATTTTCATCATCATAGGAATTTATTAAGTGACTGCACAAACAAAAAGTAGCTGCACATATTATACAATTTAATAATGTAGGTTAAGAGCCAGACAAGACCGACACTGCACATACAGAAATTTCAAATTACTACCACACTAGATTTTGTGAAAATAAGAGGGTTAAGAACGTTTCAAAAAATTTAATAACATTACTCTCCTATCACAATTTAGAGCCAACGGGCTTGATAAATTTAAAGACTATTGATCAATTCATAAGTAGTTAATCAGACCTATTTAAGAGCATTATACTGTACATATTCTTTTTAAAATAACAACAAACGAGATCTTATACTGGCGAGGGAAACAGATTCTTGCAAAAATAATTCACTGTCATCAATACTGACAAAGACAATAGAAAAAAAAAAAAAGAAACAACAGGTTTCTTGAACCACGATTTCCCAAAAACCAATAAATATTTAGAAAGTTTGCAATGGTAACAAATTAATCACAAGTCAAACTAAAGTAAAAAAAATCCCTACAAGAACACAACAATATTTACTTCGACAACGGACTTTCCAAATTCACCCAGTGATTGGTCAACTCCTCAAATGGGGCAAAATATTGTAGCCGAATTTCCACCTACAACAAATATGTAAACACTTTAATTTAAGCAATTTGTACAACAGCTTTTTTAATTATATCTATAAGAGACGTACACTGCCCAAAACCGGAGGCTTGGCAAAAATGCCATAGTTAGTAGCGTCCTTAACTTCCAACTGTAGCCTGTAGTTACTAATATCACTCGAATGCACGTCAAATTCAAAACTAAAACACGTAAATGATAATTTGCTAGCAGTAAATCACTGAACTGGCAACAAATCACAATAAGTCTTCAAAACTAAGATTTCCAAAACTGTTTTGGGACAGACGTGGTTATTATCAGAACTTTTCAAAATATTATCCAGAAAAAACATTTTGTCGTAGCACATGAAATACCTTACGCACAATAAAAATTTTAAAGCTCCGTAACCTCCTTCATATAAAACACTTCTATTCATTTTTGACATCTTATCTAACAAGATAAAGTTTCAAGGCGTCATTTTTTTTTTAAAATTCGAATCATGGGAGTTGAATAACCAAGTATAATGCATTTGACAATGCAGTTTTCAGAGCAATTTCCGCCACTTAAGAAAACGTTCATATGCTAAGGTGGAGAAGGCAGGATGAATGATAAATAACGGAGAAGGAAGTAA